TGCGCGCGCGCGCATGGTGGGGGGAAGGGAGGTTCAGGAAGGAAATTAGTTGTAATTACTAAAAACAATAGAAATATTAGTTCTCTTTTCATTGGTTTGTTCGATTCATGTTTCTTCGTTTTTTTTTTTTTTTTTCCTGGTATTTTTCTTTGTCTCAGAACTGTACCCGAAGTCTAAACATTGTTAACTGTTAGGACTAGAACGAGTCAGAGTGTTTCCTCAAATCATTCCATAGTCAATGCTTTCTCATCCTCTCTTTAAGGTTTATTCTCTAGCATTTGCTTCCAAGGTCACATACCATATTTTTCATACAAAGTTCCTGCTGCTAATATAGTGGCAAACAGGACCTTTTTTAGAATTAGTTTTCCAGGAGTTATGATGAGCTTGCACAAGCTATCCATCTTTCACTCCCATGACCATTTCTCCTTATAACTAAAAGTGCTCACCATGGAACAAAGTTTTCTCTGTGCTTGTTTAAGCAAAGTTAGACACCTTAAGCTTCAACTCCCGCACATGCAGAAAAATTAGGAGGTTTATGGATATATAGTAGCTTGTACATACTGTCATTATATCAACATATACTGTCATATGTATGCATGTGACTGTATCCTCCTAAGTCTAAGCTTCAAGAAGGCAAGCACCGTGCATTTTATTTTACTGTTTTCCACTGTCTAGCAGAGTGCTTGACATAATAAGTACTAATAAATGTTCATTGGATGAATGAAAGTATAAATAACTGAACATTTAATGAGTGCCTGTTTAGTCCAAGAATACAGTTATTTACCGCCTGTGTAAAATAAGAAAAATGGTATTGCTCTGTATATCAGCCTCGGAGACTAAAGGTGAGAATCAGATAAGGTAACTCAAGTGAACATAATTTGTGTCCTGCAAAGTACTATGGAAGTGAGAACTCCGTTGAAAAGACTATTCAAATAGGCCAGCTTTGAAACAATGAGTCTCTGAAAAGGACACACATAAAAGGTTCTACAAATCCACTACTGGGTAGAGTTATAGGCTCAGAAACATAAAATTGGGAGTTCTCATGCTCAATTACAAACGGCTAAAAAAACAGAGCTGGGTGAATTCACTTTCATTCACTTTAATTCTATTTTGGCTGTATTTGAGAAATCTTGTTGCTTCATTTTGTTTATACCACTGTAACCAGACACTTAAGATATATCTTCAGGGCTGGCCCTGTGGCTTGGTGGTTAAGTGCGCGCGCTGCGATGCTGGTGGCCCGGGTTCGGATCCCGGTTGCGCATCGAGGCACCACTTCTCCGTTCATCCTGAGGCCGAGTCCCACATACAGCAACTAGAAGGATGTGCAGCTACGACACACAACTATCCACTGGGGCTTTGGGGGGAAAAATAAAATAAATAAAATCTTTAAAAAAAAAAAAAAAAAGATATATCTTCAGTGGACCTCAAGGTCTCCAAAGATTCAAAACCAAATATTTTAGAAGTATCTATGTTAATAATAAATTATCTAAATACATAATTTATTACAGTAAAATATACAACATGTATTCAGTTAGGTAGTTTTTTCTAACTCTGATGGTAACTTCCAATTTCTGAAAAATTCTTCAATAGGGATTGCTTGGCATAGCAAATAGGAGAGAGAGATGTGTCTTAAGGCCACAGAAGGGGGCCTTGGCTGGGTCCCTAACTCACCTAAGAGGGAACTTGGACCAGATCCTTAGTTTTTCTTTGCTTTAGTTTACTCACTCTTTCTAAACTCAAAGGAGGGAAACCATAGTATCTCTAAGATCACTTCCTTCTCTAACATTTTAAGATTTTATAATTTAATTCCATCACTTTCCAATTATAATTCTACTTCAAGCCGAAAAAAATGTATACAATCCTGCTTTCTCACATTGCAAGACTTTTTCATATAAACCATCTTAAGAAACATTCATATGATGGTCCTCACAAACACAAAATAGAGTGGATACCGATATCAATAGATTCATTGTATACATTAAGAAAATTAATACTTGCCAAGCTTTCACCTGACTTTGTTCAAACAAATACTAAAATGTCTTGGAGAAATTATGCATACACACACCACAAAAGCGTCATTTATGCAGTTCTACCCTTCATCAGCTTTCCTCTTCCATCTGAAAATCAAAATCTCTCCACTTATTTTACTATAATATTCAAGAATAAGATTCTTTATGGACTAGGAGAATGTGGGGGTAAATGAGTCTCTGTTTTCAGCATCCAGTCTCTGAGCTAAAGATCTCCCACCACCTGCTGCTTCCTACACTCCAAAACTCCTGCTCCAGCTAGCTTTCTTGGGAGGAGAGGAGAAAACTGGAAGGGAGGGGAAGAAGATTAGTGCGAGCAAGAGGCGGGAGCGAGGAATGGGAGGCAGGAGGAGGCGTGGCCCGGCTCAGGCAGTCAGGATAAATACTGAGAACTGGGTGCGGGGTGCGGAGAGAGAACTCCGGAGGAACGCCTGAGCTGAGCAGCACCGAGGACAGCGCCCGGCAGCTCCCGCGCCTTGGTCTTCCTCGGCAGCCCAGAATCTCTCTTACACATACACATACGCACACAGGCACACACACCCCGAGGCTCTCGCTCACCCCACACTCGCAGACACACTCACACACACAGACACGTACTCACACGCAGACACACACTCGCTGTACAATGGCAGAATCCCACCTGCAATCATCCCTGATCACAGCCTCACAGTTTTTCGAGATCTGGCTTCATTTCGACGTTGACGGTGATTATCTTCTCTCTTTTTAACTGTTTGAAGACCCTTGTCCATGCCCTCTCCTACCCTTTCCTTCCCCTGAGGCTCCTGATCCCATTAACCCTCTTTTCTTTACTTCTTCCCCCGTCTCCCTAATCGTCTGTCTCCAGCTGGCTGCTGAGCCATCAACTTGAAAGTTTGTATATTGTTTCTATGTTATCTCAAAACCTTAAACTTTTTCCTCTCCAAGAATAGTAATAGTAGAAGGGAGGAGTGAGAGAGATCAGGAATTGGGGGACACTGCTCCTCAAAGTTTCTATGGCTACTCTCAGTATCCCTACCATACTCCTTTGCCCTTAGTGGGTCTAAAGTTTGACACCCCGGGAGGGGAGCACTGCCATGTCCGTATGCTTTGCGGGTCAATCAACTTGGAGGCAAGAGAGAGCCTCTCGGGCTGACAGAAAGATAGCTATCGTGGAAATTGAACGGGGAAGAAACTCAGAATGAGATGTCTGACTCCTCGGTGCCTCTTTGTCTTTGCAGGAAGTGGTTACCTGGAAGGAAAGGAGCTGCAGAACTTGATTCAGGAACTCCAGCAGGCGCGGAAGAAGGCTGGATTGGTAGGTTCAAGTTTGCAGAGGAAAAAAACCTTGACCTTAAAATAAAAATATTCTAGCGTTTTTGTAAAGAGTCAGCGGGATCCAGTAGTTTCCAGGGAATGTAAACATGTATTGACTGAGAAAGGGGACAAAGAGCGCCTTTCCAAATTGTGTAGGGGAAAACAGAAGGAGAAAGACAGGAAGAGAGAGAGATTCCCTAAAGGGAAAAACCTTACAATCTGAAATCGGAGCTTTTAAAATATAGATTCTATACTTGAACTTGTTTTAATAGTGCTTAAAAAGAAAGTTGGGGTGCCTGAGATCTCTTAGCAGATCACTACCTCCACGATTGAGTTCAGTTAGGTAATATTTAACTTCTGTTTAACTGCGTGAGAAGTAAGGGGGTAGAAATACATTTCTGCCCCTTGGTGGTCAGCAAACAGATCTGCAGACTATGGATCTCGTATTCTACTGCCAGTTATTACATTTGTGATGTTGATGTGGTTGGAGAGATGAGAAAATATCTTGCCTTGACCTTCCTCACTGAGGGAAGGGTAGACAACTTGTAACATAATAATGAACAAGAATTTAGCAAGAAAGGGGTTTATTTCTGTTGAGAAGTAAAAACCCAAAAGTTAGAGATGTAAAAAGTAAAGTAATTTTAAGAATTTCCTGTATTTTTAAAAAGCAAAGTGATACTCTGATGGGAAGCAATTAATAGTGTTTTGAACATAAGCTATATTTGTGATTTAAGCCATTAGTTAATTAAACAAATGACACTTCTTACTAATTATGAATGATGTCCTTTGGGCATAAATTAACCTGTTAAGAAAAGATGTTGTCAGCATAAAAGTAAAATACACTTAGCTTTAATATATAGATGAGATAATTGTATAAAGAAAAATAGGCTAAGAATTTTACTAATCTATTGGAGTTTATGTAAGACTGCATTTCAGAAGGCAGTATTGGATTTAGGTTAGTTAGATGATAAGGATCTTTGGCCTTTTTGAAAGAGATTTTACAGATTATATATCTTTAGAGGAAAATATAGGTGTGTGTGATCCTTTAGCAGATCACCACCTCTAGCACTGATATATGTGTCAGTAACATATATATCAAGAATATATATCAGTGCTATATATCTCATGAATCACCTTTTTGTTCTATGTAGATTCAAAATTGTATGATATACAGCTCTGTACAACATATTCAAAAGAATCTCAAAGGACTCTAAAATGTATTATAATGCATTACATAACTATCATTGCTAAAAGCATTGACTAAATTGATTTCAAATCAGATAATGCTCTAGAGATTGTTTTACCCACATTTAATATTACACAAATCTGAAAGTATAATAGAATGGAATCAAATAAAATAGAAAATATTTTATACACTCTCTCTCCACACACTCCTCCTACCTTACATGTTGCCATGTAAATAAATTCATGCAATACTATCATTACAGCTCTATGTATCTTTGACTAATAAAACAAAAACAATTCTCTTCCTCACTTAAAAATATATAATTAACATAGCTAATTGGAAGACTCCTACTTGCCATAAAATTTAGAATTAAAACCTTGGAAGATGCTTCCAGCAGCTAAATTATGATATTTTAATTTTTCTAGAAGTAATTTTAATGTTGAGATTGATTTTCATCTTAGAAATTCGAATATTTAGAAGCTCTATACATTTTTTCAGATTTTTCTTTTCCTTTTCCCATTTTAACATTTGTGCTTTTCTGTAAACAATGACTTTGTGTTAGAGTTTTAAAGATTTTAGAGTTTATTTTTTCCTACTGCCTACACTCAAATTTTAGAATATTTGAAGCTCTAATTATTAGACTATAATTCAATAATACCAAACTTGAGCATAGGTACAGGATTATAGCACGGTTGCTTAGTACTTTGATAATTGAAGATTTTTCTGGATTAGGTATATAGGCTTTGGATAGTTAAAATCTAATCAAGATCTGGATTGAGAGGTTCATGTACTAGACAAATATTTCACTATACTACTGGCCCCATTGCAGTAAACCTACTTTTACGTATTTCATCTCTTTTTTTAGAACATAAAGATTGACCTTATCAACCAGATTTCTTTGCATTTCTGGCCGTAGGATAACAGATTTCACTGTAATAATGAATGAATTGTTTGGCTTGTCATATTAATAATACGAAATTGCAAAAATTTCACTAATATTAACTATCAGTGAACATTAACATTAATGAAATATAACCACCCAATATATTTTCAGATCTATCCTTTTACACTAAAGATGGTATTCAGTCTTTAAATTTGCATTCATTTTTATAAAGCTTTAATTTATTTTGTTATTATTATCATTATCATTATGTTTTTACACCATTTAAAACATAGATTTTGACATAATTATCACCCAAAAAGCTCAGAAACTGAATGTCGTCTGCTAGCTAACCCAGTGATATTTATGGTTTTAAGATTGAAAAACAAAGGCTTTGTTTTCTGTTTACTTTAAGGTATGTGCAACAAACATACCAACTCACAGTCCCCCTGTTGCCATGGGTGGACTCCTTCATCTTCTTAAATTGCTGCTCTAATAAAACTTAATAAATGCAAATTGCAATTAATCCACAGTAGAAAAGTTTTATTTTAAAGATTACATTATAATTAAATTGCTTAATTACAATTTGTTACCTCAGTCCTACTAAAGATATTTACTTTGGTTCAAAAAGGATTTTGTAACACTAGTGGTAATGATATACAGCCTCCATATAACCCTTAAATTATATTAAGGCTAATACATCTATCCCTAGAGCAAACTGTGTGGTAGATAATCCACCATCTTGTTAGTTATGATAAAACTGAGACCTTAATTTACTTTCCCAAGGACACAGAACAGGACATTAGTAAAGACTGACCTATTTTAAACAGACTTCAGTTAATGCAACAGGGCTATTTTAAATGGGCCATGTTGGAGACCCAAGGGTATAAATTCAACTTCCTGAATACTAGTTCCATATTCAGATAACTAGTCTACAGTTCATAGCTCTCCAATCTGTCAACATGTGAAAGATTATATAAACAATACAATAGATTGAAAAAAATAAGTCAAATGAGGTGAAAGCATTCACTTTGTCACTCTTAAACATGTCTTATTGTACTAAAGTACATGGGGGAGAGAAATCATCTTGGAAAAAAAGAGAAACAAGAAAATACTGGACTGCTGCTCCCTAAGTTACTCTTGGAGGCAAAGCATACATAACTAGTGGCCTAAAATAAGGTCATCAATATTGTCCGCCTTTAATGAAAGCATAAATTGGTCGTCATTTTTATATCTGATACATATTTTTCCGACATTTAACTTTTTAACATTTAATAAATGAACACCATTTCCATGCTGGAAACATTCTTTGCTTACAAAGTGAGTCACTCTTCAACACTCACATTTTTTGCTTATCCAGACTGAAAACACATATTATTACTTTCCATGGATAAAGCACATTAGAATAAGGAAAATATTTAGGGACAATTAGTGCAGCAATTTAAAAGAATCTTTCCTGAAGCAAGTAATGTGTAAAGTACATTAACAGTGATCATTATATTTGAATTCACTAAAGGTTATGAACTGAATAATTCTGACTACATTTTCCAAGGATAGCATTTTCTGAAAACTAATAATAGAAGATAAATAACAGTGATTGATTCAGAAATGATAATCATAATTGTAACTCTTATTTGAAACCAGTAAATACTGTGTATCAGTTATGTCTTTCTCACGAGAATATATAGTTAATCAGTATGCATAATCCTAAATGGTTCCAATTCAGGTTTATCTTTGCAATAAGTTATTAACACCATCACAAGCACAAGTGAGTTTGTTTGTTTGTTTTTACAAAATTCTTACCTGCTTTTATATAATTTTAGGAGTTATCACCTGAGATGAAAACTTTTGTGGATCACTATGGGCAGAGAGATGACGGAAAAATAGGAATTGTAGAGGTAAGGAACTTATTCATTTTTCTGATGTAGTTTTAATAAATGAGCTTCATTTTGTAGTGATATCTTATCTTTTGACAATGCCTTTTCCTATTGAGGACAACTTTTTTTGTCTATGAATCAAGGAAGCAAAATTCTGATTATGCATGAATTCTTTGGCATTCTCATATTTGTGAAAGAGCTGTTGCTTCTCTTACTTCTACTTTGCCAAAGTCTGATGTCTCAACTACTTTCCTTATCTCTACAACCTATCAGAGAAATTGAGTGCATAGCTTTTTCTGGAAACATTAATAAGGTCATATTATTAAGCGTGTTAAATCACAAGCACAATTACATTCTTTATATATAATGCCCTTAGTGTATTGGGTTGTGAAGTATTCTGGCTGTCAACAAGATTTAGTCATAATTCATCTTTGATTCAGAGAATTAACCTGGTCTTCAAATAACTGATCTTATACAACACCTGTGATGTCAACGTGAAATCCACTTATTTTTAAATAGCTCCTACAAGCAGAGTTGAGGAAGAACATACTATTATTATCTCTGTAATTAAAACATTTCCCTGGAGTATACACTTTCCCCTTTGCCTGTGTGTAACTCATTACTATATAAATAGACAAACTGACAGTAATGGGACTTACAGATTGACATAGAGGCCAACTAATCAAGATATGAAACCATCAAGGATAAGAAAATAACTTTTAAATGAACATAAATGAGATGAAGTAAATCTATTCAAAACTAGTTGGGAAATCTGAAATGAGTTAACTTATAGATGTGGCTATTTCAGAGTTTGGCATACTTCATAATTCTAGTAGAGGAAAGACTGTCATCTTATATTTAACATATTTCACCTTGAAGGACTCCAATGGGCTCAGCTATTTATTTTACTTAATTTTTTCAGCAACACTAGGTTGAACGGTAGTATAAAAACCGTGGGTCAGGGGGCCAGCCCCATGGCCGAGTGGTTAGAATTCATCACGCTCTGCTTCAGCGGCCCGGGTTCGCGGGTTTGGATTCCCAGTGCAAACCTACACCACACATCAAGCCATGCAGTGGCGGCAACCCACATGCTAAATAGAGGAAGACTGGCACAGTTGTTAGCTCAGGGCTAATCTTCCTCAAGCAAAAGAAAAAAAGAGGAAGATGGGCAATGGATGCTATATCAGGGTGAATCTTCCTCAGCAAAAAAAACAAAAACATGGATCCAATTCACATGGATTTTACATTTTTAAATGCATGTAAAGTGATGAATCTGTTTTGAATCCAGGTTTTACATTATATGATATCATATATTCATTTATTAATTATAATTTGATGTCATCTTTGAATGAGAGGCTAGGGGTCACTAGCAGATTCATTGTCCTAGATGTTTGATGAAAGAAATTTCCCCAAAAGTTTGAGATAAGAAACTGTCATAGGAAAGAAACATTTTCTGTGTGAGGAAAGATAGTTAACAGAGGAGGAGAAGAAGTTAATGAAGGCCGAAATGAAGAATTGAGGAACTTTTATAGCAATAACAATAAGAAAAACAATTTACGTTGGTATGACATTACATAATTTATAAAGTGTTTTCAAATACGGTATTTGATTTGATCATCATAACAACAAAATGAAATAAGCCTAAATATAAAATGAGAATCTATTTTTATAGTTGGGGAAACTAAGGCTTCAATAGAATTTGCCTAAAGTCAAAGAAAAGATAAGAAACGAATGGTGGAACAACTAGAACCCAGCCATCTTCCTCTAAACTACTCTGCCTTTTTTTATAATAATCTGTACATTTTCTGCATTAAAAAATACATATTTTCAAGCTTCAGTTGGTTTACTATTTATGGCAAGGCTGTATGTTGAGCCTGGTTGAACAGGCATACAACAAGTATAGAGAAGTTATCTGGCCAAAACACTTAAAACATGATTTGGGCAAAACTTTCAGATCAGCTAAAGCAGAAGGAGTTTAGAGGGAGAGAAGTGAGAAACATAAGAATTGATTAGAAGGTTTAGGTATTCCAGGACATGAAACCTTTCGATAGACAAGACCCTTGGAAAAAACTAGCCAAAATTTCTCATTTTAAGGATGAAGAAACAGAAGCCAAGAAAGGTCGAGGGATGTGTCCAAGATCTCACTGGCAGGAAGTGACAAAACCCATATACAGGCCACAATCTGACTCTGATTCCAGATTTCATGTCATTAATCTGAGTTATCAGCCAAGGCGCAGGAGGTGGGGGTGGAGGGGGTGATTAGTGGGAGAGAAGAGAATTGGAGAATGGGAGGCCAGGGAAGAGAGATTGCTGCAGTAGTGCATGTGAACTTTGATCCTGTTTACAGCGGTTAAGAAGAGAGAAAGGAGAGGTTCTGAGAATCATTGGAAACAAGAAATTGAAAGCTACAGATTATACGTAGAAATAGGGACAGGAAGAGGGGGAACCCTGAATTTATAGTGTGCCCTCTAGTGTCACTAGGAAGGTGTGTTAACTGAAGGTCATCCTTTCTGTTTTCCAATTTGATACATAATATCACTTGCAAAGACATCCTGCGTATAACATGGACACAAATACACAAATCCAGCCAGCTATGAAGGAATGGGAAAATCCCATGTCTTCCAAAATTTATGATTATCTACCTGCTCACATCAGGCACACCCCAACTTTGGTGTTCATAGAAAAAACAGGTTGGATTTGCCTATATGTTTTGCCCACTTAATAGGTGTACTCATAGGCCCATCAAAATCTAATCAGAGTAAATCAAATTATATTCATGCAGTAGTCTGGTCTCCTGGTAGAAACAGGCCAAATTGATTTGGCTCTAACTGAAACATATTGTTCAAAAGATCAAAAAATATAGTGGTTAATTTACAAAGTTTTCTCCTGATGAAGTTGACCAAAATTTTCCAACAACATGCCTTTGCTACTAGAAACATGTAAAAAGAAGGGTAATGTACAGATGTGCTTTCTTCTGAACCTTTTAATTTCATGTCTTTAAATAGATTTTAAAATTCACACAAATACAGTTCAATAATAAAGAGATTGTTAATATGAACCTAAATCAGGAGCATTGAAATTCTGAGATAATTTAAGAAATACTTTGACTGTCAAAAAATGTCCTAAATTTATTCAGACTAATAGCTCTATTGCAGTGAAAGCTGATTAAAATAATTAAAGAGGAAGACTGAACAATTTAGTAGATAATAGAAATTTCTTCTCTGATGCTTACATTAGGTATAGATATTTCCCTTAGCTGGATGTCAAATCTGTAAGCTTTTCACCCGATCCCTTGGGCCACGTGTGGGTACCTACCATCCTCTCTAGTCTTATTGTGTCTATTTGTCCAGGTCAACACATCCACTAAAAAAATAGATCTAAAAGCTATTTTAATAAAACTGCAATAACTCTCCCAGAGAAGCAGGCACTTCTCCAGACTTCCCCTCTTTCCTTCCACAGTGGGATTTGAGCATGTGAATTTAGCCACAGTGAATGTAATTTTTTATGGTAGAGTACTTTTCCACCTCAGAACATGGGGAAATAAGGGACAATGAAATCTGATTTTAAACTTCGCTCTGAATAAATTTTTTTAAATAATTTATTAGAAAAACTTTTTTGATTAAAGATTTTAATGGAGGGTGATGAAGGTAAGGGACCACGGCCTCAAAATCAAGAAAGTCAGACTGTCTGACGTCAAATCTACCTCAAACTATAAGCTATGTGATAGCAGCCCACTTATCTTCTCTGAGCCCCTGTTTCCTTGGCTGTGAACAGTGGTGACATATAAGTATCAACATCAAACATAATAATACACGTCAAACAAATAGATCAACCCTGATACACTGTAAATAAATGTATTTGTTATTATTATTAGAAATAAAAATAACTCTGGAAAATCTACACCATTCTTCTGAATGCCAAGCCTTTTACCCACTTCTTATACAATTTGTCAAATTCAAATTATTAAATTCGACTAGCCTTAAATGTATATGAGAAGAATATTTGCCTTCCAAATTTCCTGTACTCACTTCTCATTGGCTAGGAAAAGTATTTTCCTGGTTCCCAAATGAAAAAAGTGAATACTCTGCTAATATGTGTTGAAAGAGGTTAACATGCACCATGATTGTCTTAAGAAGTGAGGAATTATGCCTTATGTCCGCTTTGAAGCACCTCGCTCAGTCATTTATGTTTCTAGTAAAGCTGTCCTTCATGTGTGCTCTCATTGCACATAGTGCTTAGCTTTATCACTCTGTCTATCTCCTGCTTTGAAATTGTCGGGGAAAAAAGTGGAAATGATCTGCCTCCCTGTAAGGTTCTTACTTGCGGTGACTCTGACTCCTCTCCAGTATGTGGTCGGTTCTGAATAGCAGCCGTGTGAGCCATAGCATGGGATTTCAACCTACTCCAAAACATAAGGCAAGCGTTCCACATTATGCCTAGAAATAGAAGAGAGATGTGAAGACCCCTGTCACAGTTTGAGCTCCCTGGGAAACAGATCTGAGTTGAAGAGTAGCAATAAATGAGAGGTTTATTAGGAAGTGCCTTGGGGATAAATACCTGTCAAAGGGAAAGGAAAAGAACAAGACTGGGCAGAGGGAGATGATGGGCTGGGATACAGTCTCAACAGAGGCTTCAGCGGACCCCACAGTGAGCTCTGAAGCTGGGACGACCCTCCAGAGGTGTCCCAAGTTTTGAGTGAGAGGGCTGGGCCTTTACCTCTCTGTGTGGATCAGTCAGAGGATGCAGCCTCCTTGGGAATGCAGCTCTCTTCAGCCCAGGGAGTCTCCCAAGGGGCCTGACAGCTCTTGCCACAGCAACACTCCCAACACTCTGGGTGGAATGTCACAACGTCCACCCGAATCCCTATCTGCAGCACAGCGGTAAGGTATTTGAATTATCCCCAAAGGAACTTCATTTCCATGTATTTGCAGCCTCTGCTGACCCTAGACAAATAGTCAATTGCCTTCATTCATTGGTTCAGGAAAATCTTTACTGAAATTTTTGCAGGTGCTGGGCAAAGTGAATAAGACACTGACCCTCTCCTCAAGATATATGTAGACTAGTGGGGGAGACAGGCAAACAGGAAGAAATGTTAGCTTCCCCACTCTCAGTGACAGGCAACCAGTTCTCAGAAATAAAGCTCTGAGGGATTTTCATTGTGGCCACAGCTACCCCATCTTCCACTCATTCCCTTTATATTCTTCACTCTCTTCTCCAACCTGTAACAATGTTTTGGGAGTTCATAAAAGAGCAGGCAAGCAGCCCAAGAACTAAGAAATCACCAATGTCTCAGCTTGTTTATACCTGTATAATATATCCTTTAACTTAAGATAATGTCTCAAAGTAGAACCATCCAGTTTGTAGGCACTACATATGGGGGCGAAACTAAGGGAGAGTGCCAGACATCTTATTAGAATATTTAGTATGACTCAGTCAGAAAACATTTTATTATTTATTTTGAAACGAAGGTCACCAGTAGGGTTGTGCGTTAACATAAGCATTCATTTAGGAAACAGAAAATAGCCAATGCCAACTCTTCCTGTATTTATTGGTGTGTACCTTGTCAGATACCACTTTGTAAGTTTTTGGTGGACCTCCCCATAGACCACCCATTTCAGGAGGGCAGAGACTATTCTTTGTCTGCATCCCCTAAGTGCCCAGTGTGGTGCTCTGCATGTTATGTGCCTGATATAAATGCTTGTGGATTGGTTGATAATTTTACTTCATTAAAAATACCTACTTAACATGATTTATAATATTGGGGTTTTTTTACTATCTTCATTGCAATTTTCTATATTGCTTGAATTTTAATAATTATTTTTTATTGTTTTCAACAAAATCATTTTTCTTAAAAAAAATTATACTTATCAAAACCCACCAAATAAATGAAAACAGAAAAAAATAAAAGAATGAGCTGGTGAGCAATGACCAAGTGTAAAATTAGGGAAATTTTAACCATCTTTGTTTCAAAAATTAAAAGGATGAAATTGAAAAAAAGGAGAGACTTTCCTATAATTTAGTTGAACTCTCGGAACTTATACTGACCTTAGGGTTGCTCTAGACCACAAGTTCTTGGTCTAACATCCAGGGATGAAGGTCTATGTCTACACTTCAGGGGATTCATAAACTTACCGAAATTAGATGAAATATAGTTAAGATGTAGTGATTCTAATAGATTCTCAAAGTCATTTTGAACCCAATACATTTAAGAGACCTTGGTTTCTATTTCAACTCCTTATTTTACTAAGTTCCAGAAATGGCTGAGGGAGTTGCTGAGGACCACAGCTAATTAGTAGCTGAGCCAGAAATAAAACCCATGCCTGCAGTGGGGCCATCAATCCAGCTCCCTCCCTCCCTGCACACAAAAGATAGATTATATTCATCTTAAAATGGGATCTGGAGCTCTTTCTTCATCCAAAAAAAAAAGAAGCATTGAAGCTATGAAATGAGATCTAAGGAGAAATGTCACAGGGTCACGCAAAGGAGATCATAAAATAAACCCAAGCCCTGGATTCAAGCAGTGGATGTCCCTTTAGCAGAAACCATCAACTTGAGAACTGATTTTCCCTCTTACTGTTCAGTTTCCACTGTTCATCATGAATTGCCTTTCCACCTCTCTTTCCACTGACTTACAATTGCCTTCAGTTTATCTTCCCTTGCATCTCTTAGTAGGCTTTCTCTTCAGGCTTGGGAATGCATTTTTTCCCTCCTTTCTTTCTCCTATATTCATATTTCTCATAGTTTCTTTCCTTCTACATGAAACGTGTGCCATTCTATGCACCCTGAAAGAAGCAAGACTCCTCTGTGGCACAGAACAGATGTAGGGTCAAGCCACCGGGATGAATTTGCTCCTCTGTCCAGCAGATGAGGAGTGGTCAAGCCAGTCCTATCTGAGCCCCTCTGCCTGCATGAGGCAACCGCCCCCTGACCAGAGGACCAGCTGCTCCAGGGCACCCAAGCATCGGAAGACATGATGGCACTTTGTGGAGACAAAGTATCAGGAGGGGAAAGTCAATTCTAATGTTTTTCCTCTCCTCGTTTTCTAGGCAATAAACCAGCTCCTAATGAATACGTTCAAGAAAAACAAGCAGGAGGTAAAGCCAGAGACTTGCGTTCGAGCTCCTTACAACTTTTTAAATCTTTTCCAGTTGGCTCATGTATTACCCACAGAGGAGAACTTCCTGCTGCTCTTCCGATGCCAGCAGCTGAAGTCCTGTGAGGAATTCATGAAGGTATGAGAAAGCTCTGTCGCTGAGTGGCGTCCTCGGAAAGCTGCTTCAAGTAGGAAAATTATTGGCTTGTTTTTAATGTGTTTGGTTTTCCTTATCCGAAATTACTTACAGACATGGAGAAAATATGATACTGATCACAGTGGCTTCATCGAAACTGAGGAGCTTAAGGTAAACAAATAAAAACTTGTCCTAAGTTTCTTCCTTTCAAATACAATTATCAACTTTGCAGCTTTCTAGAAAACCTCCCACAAAAGAAACTAATGTTGAGCAATGGCACATTTTCACCCACTCGTCCACATCGTTAATGAAGTACCAGATCAAAAAAGAGACTTCAAGTACTTCTTGAAATTCTGTTCAGCAACGCAAGAAATTAGCATTTTCTGTGGTGTACACAAATTGTTATATAAAGTAGATAGATAGATAGATAGATAGATAGATAGATCGATAGATAATAGACATATTATAATGATATACTAAGCAGAATAAGCCACTCCTTTTCATTGAAATTTGACATTTTATTTTATAAATTGAACAACTATATAAATAGATTTCTCTTTCAAGAGAAAGACAAAGAAACAATTATTGGACACCTACTATATGCCAGGTACTTTACACACATTATCTTCTTTAATCTTGGTGTGAGTTCTATGAAATTAGTATTACCCCACTGTGGAAAAAGTTTAAGAGAAGTTAAGTGATATACTGAAAGTCACACAGAAATAACACAGAGGGCTGTGATGTTTAAACCCAGCCTCGTCTTCCTCCAAGGCCCCTGATATTCCATACAGCCTCCTGCCTCTCAACAACAGCAAAAAAACCCAACAAAGTCCTAATATAATCAAATATAATCAAATCAAAACCTACAACTTTGAAATTTAATTTACAGATGTACAGAGGAGGTGGCAGGGGAGGTGGAGGATATACTAAAGAAAAAGGCAAAGATCTGAAATCAAGTCTTATCTCTGTACAAATCTCTATATCCTTGTCTGATTTTTTTATCTCTTAAATGAAGGTAATAATACCTTCCTCTCAGATTTATTGTGAAGCTCAAGTGAGATGTTGCACATGGAAGATTTTGTGAAATACAAGGCACAATAAATTATATATTATATAATTATATATTATATATATATATTAAAAATTATATATTATTCGTGAACTCAATTTCCTAGGCTTTCAGAAATGCGGAAGCATCTTTCTCTCATTTCCTTAAGCCAAGTCCAAGACTTCTCAGTCTGGAAGATCTTTTTTTCTCTATCTTCAGGATATAGAGTTACTACAAGGGAAGCAAATTAATATTTATTGAGCAGCTACTATGTGGCAGGCACAGTACTAGGTGCTTGAAATGTATTTTAACATTTAATCCTCATAGAAAACTTGCAAGGCAGGTATTATCATTCCCATTACACAAACAGAGAAATTGAAGTTCAGAGAGATTAGATAATTTTTCAAGATTATACAGCTGCCTAGGAAAAGAACCTACATTTGGACTTAGATTATCGGATAATGCTAATAATGTTTTTCTCCCCCCACAACACCACACACTTTTAAGCTTCAGTCATCAAGAGCTAGCTCTTTTGCTGCTATATAAGGAGATATGAAGATCAAACATGTTTCCTTGTCATGGTTTAACATGGTGTGAGTCTCAAACAGTTTTAGAGATGGAACTGGGGCATTTGTACCACTGCAAAATTGCTAAAATCTATTCAACTTCAGTCTCTTGGAAATGAGAACATTTTTAATGTAAAGTCTCTGAAAACATTATCTTTCACACACTTGCAGCTCAGCAACCTGGAGCACACAAGGTGACAGTTGAGCTATTGTGTTTTTATTCTATTGGACCAAAAAAATTCTTTTAGAAAATCATTTCAAGTTCATAATGAAAACCTTAGCTCATTTCCAATACTGACACTCTTTGTTCTAAATTTTATTCTCAGAAAGAGATTCTAAATAGAAGTCCTCCTCACTGGCAAATTTTGAAGATTAGTTGGCATTCTTTTTTAATGGATCTTTCAAGAAAGCTAATTTTAAGGTCCATAATAGAGTAAAACATCGCTTGCTCTCAGACACGACTTTGAATCTCAGCGCCCCAAGGTTTCTCCCAGGCTATTTTTGTGACCACCATTTTAGTTTCCGATGAGGATTTTTAACCCAATTAATCTCTGACAAAAGCCTCATAAGGCTCAAAAATAAAATTCACCCCCAACAGATAACTTTGAATTTTCCATGCTTCATTTTGGATTTGAAGTGGAATGTTTGAAGGGAAAATAAATTTATCAAACTAAGAAGAAAGGTCTCCTTCCATGAAAAGAATCAGCCCAGCAGAGCTGGTACTTTGGGAGGGAGATACACTGCTGCAGAACCAAAGAAACCCAATCTTTCAATAATGTCTGAGCACAGTATTTGTTCAGTTTTCCATAATTGCATTAATTCATCTTCTGAGAAAATAAAGGAATTGCAAATGAACAGCACTAGATCAAATGAAAGATATTATATGCTTAAGTACTTACACTGTCATTTATATGGCAAGCTTTTGTAAAGCTTTTATTTGATTCACTTCTCTGTTAAACAAAAGTTAAACTCACTCCTAAACTCCAACTGTCAAATTAATAATCATCTTTTTTTCATCCTTCCCACATTAATCTCTATTTAATATGACTCGCATGTCCTTCAGAGATTAGATAGCATCATCTGTGGCCAACTGTTTAAGTCTGACCAGAGAGCTGAAGCATTCAAACCAAGGTGCTTTGGACTGCGTCAAGCCTGTAAGCTAAACCAACTGGCCCTCTGGTGAGACATGCTTCATACTGGCTATAAACTGATGTGGAAATAGAGCTTGTGAGGGCAGAAAATGCCCTTGAAATTAGAGGTAGACCTCCACCCAGTTTACTGATCGTTTTTCATCACATATTATGAAGATATAGAGAGCGGCCCTTGTGTTTCTTGCAGAAGAGTCACATGAGTATTTGTAAAGATATCATTACGCAGAAATGCATCCACTGGGCTGGCTGGTTTTACAAGTTTTTACTCTGATTTCTACGCAGTGCGCAATCCAGATACTCCTTTAATTGAAATCATAAAAGCATAATGTTGCCCAGACTACAACAGATCAGGTCTCAGTAAAAGGCAGATATTGTACCTGTCAAAGGCAGTATCATTGCTGCAATGTGAGGAGGACCACATGGTTTAGTCTCCCTCTGAGCTCCTCTCCTCACCCAGTTCTACCCTCAAAATGGGACTTTTTTTGCATTCCCAGGATGTTACGTTTCAAGGCATGCTGAAATGGAAGCAGACTATATGTTATTGACAAAATTTATCTGAGTGTTCTTTGATTAACAGAACTTTCTAAAGGATCTGCTGGAAAAAGCAAACAAGACTGTTGATGATACAAAACTAGCCGAGTATACAGACCTAATGGTAAGACTGATCTTGACAAGATTGTGCCCAAAAGACTATAAAATATTACTGTGTTCTTGCTAATTTCCAAGGCTACACAGGATGAAATAAATAAACCATGATATGGACATCACATGCACATAGGTATCATTTCACTTGAAAAGTGAAATACTTAAGAATGCTTACACCTCGTAAGCTGAGTGCAGTAGGCATTGGCTTTATGAGCATTTCCTTTCTTGTGGAGCTAGGTAATTTTTATCTGTCAAAAGATTTTTTTCTTATAAAGCCAGTATAATTATATTATTAAATTATATAATTTATACATATGTAAGTTACATTATAGATAAATAATTTATATCACTAAAACTCATTTATTGTAGAGGTTTTGAATCAATTTTTATCATGACTTAGGAAATCATAGACTTTGTTAGAATTTAAAGAGAACTTTTATCTACCTTCTTCATTGAGCAACTAAAAATGGCTATTTCCTCCTTTTTTTTTGTGAGGAAGATCAGCCCTAAGCTAACATCTGCCAATCCTCCTCTCTTTTTTTTGTTGAGGAAGACTGGCTCTGGGCTAACATCCATACCCATCTTCCTCTACTTTATATGGGACACCGCCACAGCATGGCTTGACAAGCGGTGCGTCGGTGTGCACCCGGGATCCGAACTGGTGAACCCCAGGCCACTGCAGCAGAGCACAAGCACTTAACAGCTTGCACCACCGAGCCAGCCCCTCCTCCTTCCTTCTTTAGATTCTTATTGTGCAATATTGTCTTGGTGCTTTGGGTGAAGAAATATAAATATAGCCTGAGCCTGATGCTATGGTAAATAGGATAACCAAGATCTATTGTAGCATATTGATAACAGAACCAAGGAAATTGCTTTATGCATAGGCACTTAATGTTTCAGGAATGAATGAATGAATAAATTTAGGAAGTTCTAGATAAAATAATCCAATGCCCATAAATTTAATTAATTTCAAGTGGGTAAAATTTGCTAATTTTGACTCATTACAGCATTAGGACTTTGAGAAAAAAGTCTTTGCCAAATTGATTAAGCCATAGGACAATATTTTGGTGACATTATTTTAATTTTTGAAATTCAGATGAAGTTTTAAATTATCCAGATCAGCACATATATTTTTACATGCTTTAAGTACTGTAAAGGTACAGTGAATTCTTACCTCATGGATTTAAACAAATAACCCATAAAACATAGGTGCATATTATAAAAATTATGTTAGATTGATAAAGGAGTTAGACTTTTTAGTTACCCTAAGAAATAATCTTATAAAGAATTTGCTTATATTTAATGTAACTGAGGTTTACTTTCAGCCTGTCAGCCTACTTTTATGTGGGTAAAAAAAAAAACACTAGAACTTAACCACCGCCTTTTTCACTATACAGTGATATTTATTATAAAGTAGGACTAATCTTTAGTTTCAAAACAATCAAAAAAAGTTTTCATTGTAAGAAAGTGTCCTCTTTAATTCCTCATTACATTTTCACTTATCAGAGGATTAGCATACAAATGTGTCACAGTGGGCAGATCTAAGCTCTGAATAACTTTTGAGAAGTAGACAATAACCTACATTTAGCAATTTTCTGTTTTGTGCCAATCTTAAGGGATGTCTATTTAAAGTAAAAACTCCTTTCCAGGTAGAAGTTTGAAGCAGCCTTTTTAAAACCACTCAGATGGGAGTTTTCCCCCTGTTGGATGGCCTGACCTATCTGACTAAATGCCATAAACCAGTTCAAATCCGGGAAGCAAATTAATCAAGAACTAATTAACATTTAAATATATATGTGGGGAAGTATTTCCCTGTGGGCACTAAACTGTGTGATCTGGTGTCCAGTATCTTGGTAGACAGTGTGCCAATATTAGTACTTACGGTTAATGAATTACAAAATGCTGTGTCAGTATCAGATCCTGAAAAAATCTGCCTCCTACAAAGGATTCCTAGAACATCTCAAACCACAGAATGCCCTTCTTCTCACTAAAGAGACCTCGCTAAACCTATATCCGTACCACCCTGATCACATTCCTTTCTTTAAAAAGCAAAATAATGCTACTTTTCACATATTTAGTATACATATTTGATATATTTCATATATAGTCCTTCTATATAATATTGTACAGCAATAGTTGCTACTTTCTAACAACGTGAATGCTTCCTGGTTACGAGTATGAGTGTGTTTACATCTGGGCGTGTCTTGGTGTATGATGTGTATGTAGTGCAATGGGGAGGTAGGAAGCTTTACTATCTAGTATCCAACGGAAAGTAAAACAATTCAAAATTACTCAAAAATCCTATTCTCCAAGTATTTATTAATATTATCTGCCTATTGCTTCTGTTTGTACTCTTTTATGCGCTAAAAGTGGGAAACAAATTAAATATTTATTTTCATACCATTGTTTGGAGAGTTTCAGGATGTGCTATATACTGCCAGACACCATCTCTTCCACACCTTGGTACACATATATATACACATATTTGCAAGAAAAATAAATGACAGTATTCTAGAAGCCTAGCTAAGATCAATATGCCTCTGTTTGACTATTCTATATTGTTCTGATAAACTTTGGCAATTAACACAAGTTATAGAATTGAAAATTTGCACTGAAATTTTAAGAAATGCTAGTTTCTAGAATTTTGCTGTCTATATAATTGATAAACTGCTTTATTTTGAATTTTCTTCTCCTTCATGCAATAAATCATTCTTCATTGGCAACAATAATGACATTCTGTCTTTCAGCTGAAACTATTTGATTCAAATAATGATGGGAAGCTGGAATTAACTGAGATGGCCAGGTGAGTTTAGGAACTATGCAAATATTATTATAATAAGCTGACCCTTGTCTAAAAATCTTATCTATTAATATAATGTTTTTCTCTCAAAAGGTTACTACCAGTGCAGGAGAATTTTCTTCTTAAATTTCAGGTATTTCTCTCTTTTCTCTATCATAAATAATATTTTCCTCGAAAAGTTAGAATGTGGGAAATTTGCTGAGAGAAACACAATGAAATGTAATAGTAGCATTTTAACCTTTGCTCTCTTCTCTATCATCTAGGGAGTCAAAATGTGTGGGAAAGAGTTCAATAAAGCTTTTGAGTTGTATGATCAGGTAAAAGTTCATTCTTATCTATAATCTGATTCTTTAGAAGAATTTGGAAAATACTCACCAAGGGAAAAAAACTTCAACTCAAGCTTCATATTAAAAGAAACATGAGCTATTAAAATTACTAAGCCACAGGCCAGCCAGGTGGCATGGTGGTTAAGTTTGCATGCTCTGCTTCGGCGGCCTGGGGTTCGTGGGTTCGGATCCCGGCGCAGACCTACCCCGGTCATCAGCCACGCTGTGGCGGCGTTCCACATACAAAATAGAGGAAGATTGGCACAGATGTTAGCTCAGGGCCAATCTTCCTCACCAAAAATAAATAAATAAATAAATTACTAAGCCAATTCATTCTTGTCATAGGAAATGTATTATGGTTTGTCCCAAATTCAACAAATCTTGATTCAAATCCCACGCTACAGTTTTACCTGCTGTGAGGCTTTAAATAAGATACCAAACTCCTCTGAACTTCAATTTCCTCATTTAAGAGGAATAAGAGATAATAATACCCACTTTACAGGGTGGAATGAGGATTAAGCTAGATGAAAACATCCAGCAGAATCCCTCTGTGCAGTAGATGGTAACAGCAATGTGTGCGAGGAAAGGTTGTGATGTCACTAGTTAACATTTTTTATTTCTCATAATTTCTCTACTCCTTGACCAAACTAGTCCTTGTGGGCTCTAGCACAGCTCTGCCACCACCTGGGGTGACATCAGGGCAGTCACATAGCTTCCCCAGGCCTCAGTGTCCTCACTCATGTGAACACTATTTATGACTACTTACTTACTTCAACAGGAAGTGATATTATTAACACAAAGTGAAATATTAAATGTGAAAGTACTTTGAAAAGTTCAAAGCATTTTACAAATGTAGGGTGTTGAATGACAGGCAATTCACATCTATTTTGGAACTTTAGAGCAGTTAAAATTTTGAGTGTCTGACATAAGAGGTTAGAATATCTGCCAAGTATGCAGTAGGGAGATTTTCTAAGGATTTCAATTATTTCCGTTTTACTACATTCCCCCTTATTGTGGATGGAGTTAGTTGTGTACTGTTTTATTTCTCCTCCCTCAGGATGGCAATGGATACATAGATGAAAATGAACTGGATGCTTTACTGAAGGATCTGTGTGAGAAGAATAAACAGGTAATTTAGTTACCATTCCACTTACTTCTTAAGCAGACTTTACAGATCAATCCAGAAGCAACCACACATCCATTTTTGGAAATCTATTTTAAAAATTTATAGAGGAGCAGAAGTAGATTTGAGTGCTTAACCTGATTTGGTACTGGCCTAAATCAGTTTAACTGTGATAAATATATCTTAAAAACAACCTTGTGATTATTCACATTTGTATAAGAATTTAATCCAGCTCTTTTCTTAATGGATTGATGTGACGAGCAGTTTTCATCTTACATTTTTATCAGTTGACAGTGGTTAACTAACTTCCATATTTAACTGAATTACAATGCCATCTATGTTCTATACAGGATCTGGATATTAATAATATTCCAACATACAAGAAAAGCATAATGGCTTTATCGGATGGAGGGAAGCTGTACCGAACGGATCTTGCTCTTATTCTCTGTGCTGGAGACAACTAGAGTTGGTGACCACGACACTATTTGCTAGCGATACATTGTATCTAAAAAATAACTGTGCACTATAAGGGAGTAGGCTGTTTTTTCTTTTGTATCTGTAAATTTAACTGCATATAGATAATTATCCAGGATGTGTGGCACTTTCTTTTCAGCTTGTTTCTATACTGTTTGTAATGTACAGTTTTGTAACCACATGACTGAAAAGGAGAACGTCTATGCTTAGGCCAGACAATACATCCAATTAAAAAAAATAATAATCTCACATATTCCTGCTTTCATAAATTTGGTTGGACAAGATTTCCCTAAAAATTCCACTAGGATTAATCTCTAAAATTCTAGTCTCTGACGTGTAAATGCACATTTGTCACTGAATAGGAGAATATTTCTGACAATCATAGGTGTGTCCCATGAAATAGTTCGAAGTCGTATTTCCAGTTATTAGGAGGAATGAGCTTTTGCATCTAAAATACCAAAATGTCAATCAATAGTTAATTGTGGCTCTAAGAAGTTAACAGTCTCACTAGACAAGATTTAGTTTATTAATCAACAACACGTCAATGCTTGAATCCATATGAAGCTCCTGGTTCAAACTGATTTGATAAGAAAGAAAGCAGCACCAGACAACACGCACACCTGTCTGATTCTATCTCTGTATTTCCAACAAGCCTTCTGTGAGAGAGTATGACCTTACTCCATTTCCTAAACTGTTTTCACGTATTGCAGATTATAAGTATTCTAGTAAACTGCTGTTTTTCTGTCATATTCTGTGTAATCTCTGATTAAATTATATATACCGAGGATCCTGGTGTCTAGTTTGTATATTTCCTGGATTTTCTTTCAATGCAGAACTGTTCATTTCCACCAAGGGTATCTGCTGCCTCTGAAAATATTTTTTTCTAGCTATAACAACTATTTTTTACTACATAATTGAATTTTAATGTAAAACTCATAGCACCCTGATTGTTGAATGTTATATCATTGATAATTTTGTGTATTCTGTGAATTCTATATTTCATATTGAGATAAGCATTCAAAATAGTTCTATTTCGATCTGCAAATAGTTTCAAATAAGTTAAAAATAATATCTGAAGAGGAATGCTAATGTAATCATTTATCTTATTTAACAAGGGAGATTCTAAAACATTCATTTGACCCATATCCAAGTCACAGTTTCATATATTTGTAGCTAGAATATCCTATACTGGTTATAGTTGACATGTAATGGTTGATGATTTCTGATTTTTTGATTGTGAAGCAGGGAGCTATGAGACAGATGTGTCTGTGTGAAATTTATAAAGTTACTGCCAAAGAGTTAATAGTTCTGAATCAGTTTGAATGTTCCCATTCTATAAATTCAGCACTGATTTTCTCAAGTCATAGAAATAACAAAAAAAAAGTGAAGTATCTCTTTCTCCCAAGAATGAACAGAAAAGAGATCTGCCAAAAAATAAAATTTATCAAATGATTGATGTAAGTGAGTGGTAGATTGGCTTTGCTTCTGGTGTGTAAATGGAAGCACTGACTTTAGGCTGAATTTAACCACTAAGAATAAAGGAAGAGGAAAACAACACTAATCTCTTGTATTTTTGTTTCTTCCTCAAAAAGTCAGTGAACATGTAACCCATGATCAATCCAGGTGGGTGCAGGATGCTCAAATCACTACAGCCTAAGAAATCTAAGTAAATGTAAACCTGCCTGCCTCAGTAAATTATTAGATGTCAAATTGAATTAAAAGGTACTGCTGACATTAAGATTTACAACTAAAGAACTCTCAAAAAATCCAAAGATTTGGGGTTTTTACCCAACTGACATAATCAAATATTTCTTCATGAAAGATCTTCTCCAAAAGAATAGGAGAAATATACAGAATTTCCCTAAATTTCATCTGTAGGAAAATAGCTACTCATTACAAAGTATACACCAAAACTAGACCAGGCTTGGCACTGTTACAATAATAGCATGGAAAAAGAAAGAACAACAACAATTCTGATAGGAGTAGATCTGAGGGACTTCCTAGGTGCTGATAGTAATAACAGTCATGAATCCAGCACTCAGCCTGTCATAGTGGACTTGAACTCCGGAGCACTTTCAGGGAAAGAAATCCTTATAACTCAGCTCAGTCAGTCACACTTACACATGAGGGACAGGCCAGGCTCCAGGAGCAGAGAACAGAGTGAAGAGTGGAAAATGAATCTGAAAGGGCAAATGTGAGGTAGTTTACACAACAGCTACTCGACATCACAAACAAAATTCATTATAGGTACATCATCAATCTAAATGTGAAAGGCGTGCAGACAACATAAGAGACTGTCTTCACTACCTCATGCCTGGAAAGATTTCTTAACAACCAACTATGAAAAAACAGATTGAAAAACTGGACTCTATTAAAACTAAGAACTCTGTTCCCAAAAAGACAATATTAAGAGAGTGAAAACTCAAATGTCTAAGTGTGAGGATATATTTGTGTTGGCTCGCACCCTCAGGAGTTCCCGGGTAAAATCTGAAACCGGCCCCCATACACAGAGGGCAGGGAGAGACCGAAGACAGAGGCCGGTGGGTAGGTGGCAGTTTTAATAAGCAAGGGGACTTACATCCCAGGCTTGTTTTGGGCAGCCACAAGATGATATCTCTGCTCCTGCCCACCAGAATCTTACAAGTTTATATAGAGGCCTTAACTGGGTTCAGTCACACATTTAGTCCAGATGGTCTCAACAAAACCTTACTCTCTCGAGGGTGCATCCTTGAAATGGCTCCGGCTTGTGGGAATGGCAGGCAGAAGGTACATTCCAAGGACAGGGGAGGGGGAAAGCCCATAACCAGCTTGCAAGTCAACTAGCAGTCACATCCTCTCAATGACTTCCTCCAACAATTTGTAACCCATATAACTGACAAAGTTACATATCCAAAATATATAAGCATTACTCCTAAAAATAAATTTTAAAAAAATATAACCCAATAGAAAAATGTGTAAGAAAGTTGAACTGGCATTTCACAAATAAAAGGATATCTAAATATCTAAAAACAATAAAAGTAAGCAACTTTATTAGTAATCAAGAGACATTGCTACAAAAAAAAGTCAGAAACACAAGAATATGTATTGTGTGTTTCTATTCACATAAACTTACAAAGCAGTTTAGCTATGGTGCTAGAAGTCAAGACAGCGGTTAGTTTTAGGGAGAGAAAGGGAATCATGATGGGGTACACAAGCAAGGCTTCTGGATTCCTGGTGATGTTGTTTCTTATCTGGGTAGTGGTTACACAAATATATTTGTTTTGTGATAATTCATGACTTGTGTACTTTTAGAGAAATCATATGTCAACTAAAAAGTTAAAAATATTAATTGTGTGCAAGCAGGGATTTAGGGAAGCCTCTCTGAAGAAGCCAGCCACATAAAGATCAGGAAAAGTACATTCCTAGGACAAAGAAGCAGCTAGTGCAAAGGCTCCAGGGTGAACAACCCTAAGGAAGTGAAAGAAAGCTGCTGTGGCAGAGCCTGGGATGGGAGCAGAGAGGGAGCACAAGGCAGAGCAGGCAAGATTTCCTCTGCCAGGGTAAGGAAGGAGTTGAGATTTTATACAAAGCACCATATATTCAGTCTCCAAACCCAAGGATTACTTTACCTTGCAGCTGAGAAATGTAAGCTCTTATCAGAAAATTAAAGTTAAAGGGATTAAGGTTGAAAATGAATTTGTGAAAGTCTAATACATATTTTTATGTTCAATGAACAAAATAATAAAATTGATCAAAAAAAAAAAATTAATGGGCATTTTCCCCTTGAAGGCTTTTGCAATAGAACTGTATCTCATAGAGACTCTGTTATTGTCTCTTGGTTTAAATTATGATCCCAAGAAACTGGTCCCGTTGGGCAGGAGACATGAGCTTGACTAACTGTGTGACCTTGGGCAAGTCATAACTTACTTGTGCCTCAGCTCCTTCAACTATAAAATGAAGGGGCTGAGAACAGTATCTTCTAAGACTTTTCCAGCCCTAAATTCTATTATTCAAAGTCACTTAAATTCTTGCTGCTTTAGTTTTTCCACAAGAACAATAAAGAAACAAGAGCTGTTACTCCATACCTGAAACATTTCCTGGAGATGTTTTCATCTATTAATCATAAAATGAGGGATATTGTCACCAATAATCCTCACTTGAATTTGCTGAGTATTAACTCTTCCATTAGTGCATTAGAAGCAGGATTCGTAGAGAAGTTACTAAGTAGAGTGACAAATGGTAATTCTTAAGGTGAAACATTGATATGGTTACAGCCCAAAGGTGGTATGTCATAAAATATAGTGATTATCCATCAATGTTTGTTTCTCTTTCAGACTTCCTAAGAAATTTCTTTCTTAGGAAAACCTTTAATTAACTGATATTCTCATGATTTCTCTTTTTTGGTCCTCTCTGCCATGTTTGTAAGCTTTGCTTCCTCATTCATCATTTGTAATAACATATATTAATGAAGCAAACTCTAAGAGATGATTAATAGGAGAAAAATTTGTATACAAATTCAGACAAATCAAAATTTTTACAATACCCAATTAAGACATCAATAGGTAAAAAGACAAACAAGACATTCATAAGTGTAGAAAAGTATTCAATATCACTAATAATTAAATAAACACGTTTGAAGGAGCTATCACTTTTTACTTATGAAATTGGTAAATAGTTTGAAAGTGGGAATACCCCATATTTGTAGGTATTTGTTGAAAATGGCATTATCATACACAGCTCAGGGTGTTCTAAACCCATACAAACCTTAGGAATAACAATTTGGAAACATGTCTGAAAGGTCTTTAAAAGCTTTATAACCTTTGATTACTAATATTATTTCTAGGAATCTATCATGAGGAAAAAATTCCAAATTCTGAAAATGTTTTATGCACAAAGATGTTCGTCACAGTTTTATATATAATACTGAAAAATAAAAATAACCTAATTCCAAGAATAAAGAATTAAAGTATGATACATGTAAACAATGAAATACAAAAAATCATATTTATGAAAAAAACCAGAATCTGATTTATCATACAATCTCAACTGTTAACAAAAAGGAGAGAGGTTGAGAAAATACTGGGGAAAAAAACAATATTTATAAAGTTATAAAAAGGTAAACACTGAATATTAACTAAACCAGAAATTGGAATATGTTATATTGCTAGAATTAGTGGAGGGGAAGAGTGTATATTGCAGAAGAAAAAGAATAGTTAAAAGAGCTGAAGATGGTTACTATGAAAAGAGAGCTGTGGAGCGGGGACTACAGTCATACTCTTTCCTGTGTAAGTTATATAAACAAATTACTTTCATAAAAAATAAAAATTAAATAAAAAAGCAAAAGGCTGAAAATAAATATGCCAAAACCCAAAATACTAACAGAAGTTGTCTGTAGGAAGTTAGTTTTTTATTTTTTCTATTCTCTTGTATTCTCACCTTTTCTGTGATAAGCATGTTATAAGGATGAAAAGGGAGAAAGACAGCAGGGCCCCATGTATGTTTTACATTTTATATGATGTTTTTACTTCTTGCATCTCACTTAATCCTCATAACAACCTGTGAAGCAGATACTATAATCCTGAATTTTATCATGAAGAAAATAAGAAGTGATGAAAGTTACACAAGGTCACTTATAACCACTGGCACTTTTTTTTCCTATACCACAAGAGGTATTGATAACTTAAACAGGAAGGAGACCTATGTAGATAGATGAGAGGAAAACAAGGATTAGTGTTAAGGTAAAATGCAGACTGTGTACCTGCATTGCCAGAGTGTAAAGAAAAAGTGTACCATCCTAAAAAAGCCCAGTGAAAGCCACTACAATTAGGACTGTAAAGGCCACTTATTGCAAACCTGTAACATTAGCCATTTATGTACACAATTTAAATGTAATTTATGTTCACAATTAACTGTCAATGTAATAAGGGTTTTCATATGTGGCTTATAGCACATAAATTCAAATAGGAAAGTAGATTCCTTTGCAAATCTATTCAGAGGAAGTTATGATGGAAGCAGGCCCCCTCGCTTAGTAATCTGGGTAATGGGCATAGTCAGTCTAGTGAGTATGTTACGAGTGATTCCTATGAAAGCAAAATAGACCTTTTTTAAAATATAAGCTCAAAGTTACAGCTATATAGCCTTGAAACTGTGGTTTTCTTATTACTTGCTTCTCAAGATAACAAATTAATCAAATCAAATATGAAATAAAATAAAATTATACACAAAAATATTTTATAAGCTTTATTTATCTTCCCTACCCAGAGAAATCTCTTCTTCTTTTAGAGTTAAGATGGAATGCTATCTCCTAGGTGTCAATTCCTCTAAACTCTGAAGACAGAATGGATTACTTCCACCTCCACACTTTAACACTGCTGGAATCATATTTATCATGATGCATCATAAATAATTATTTATAGGTCTGTCTATCCTGCTAGATAATGAGGTTCAAGAGGGCCAAGGCTGTAGATTATTGCTGTTTTATCCTCAGTACCAAGTAAAAAGCCTGGCTACAAAACAAGTCCTCATAAAATTTGTTTGAATTAATATTGAGCTATCTAAAGGAGATAATTCACAAGTCCAATGAAAAGGAAAAACAGTAGGAAGACAGAGTCCATTAACTTTACTGTAGACCCTTTACTTTCTTATAGGCCCCATCACCACGGGCATGGTTTAATATGTAAATCAAACGCTACTTTCACCATTAAGTTTCTCCTGATTTTTCCAGGTTAAAAATATCTGTTCCTTTCTCTGCACTTTCAAGCACTTTTTACCTCTCTAAGCCTCACTCGCTCTTATTTTTTTTTAATTTTTTGAAGGGACAATATCTCATCTTATTTATCCTTGAATACACCATGTCCACCCACCACTGGCCTGGCACACCACACCCACTCAATGACTGCTGGTTACTTAACAATTTATTAGACTTGAAAATACTTGAAAGATTACAGACAGTTTGTATCATTTCTATTCCTTGACTTTTTCTGTAACCAAGACAGAGGCCAGAGTGGTCTTAGGAACCTTTAGTCTTTCTGATGAGTCCTTCTATTGTCTCCCACTGCTCCTTGGTGACCTAACACAAAAAGAAAAAGTCAATTTAATGTGGTTCTTGCATATTTTTAAAGCTTAGTATCTTAGCTGCTCATATTATATTATATACCCAAAATGGCATTACCTTACTCAGACTGTTGAATTCCCCTGAAATAAGTACTTCCTCTCCACCATCAAATCTAATGACCTGAAAAAAAATATTAAAAACTTCTGAAACTAACTCCTGTTAAAAACTTTCATAACCATTAGCCATTTTCCCATCCTAATTGGATGGAATACCTCCTTGGCACCTTCCATCAAAGCCCAAATTTTAAAGACAAAATTGATGATTAAACCTAAATTGACTTACTCTCTTTAGAATCCTCTTTCCATCATCTTCACAATTTCAAACTGTACCCAATCTTAAAGATCATCTTAAAGGCATGGCTAACCAGAGCAATTTGTACTTAATAAAATTAATTTATCAATGAATACATTTCATAAGCTAAACAGTATATATTAATAATTATTTTTATATTATTTACAGCTAAATATTTTAAATCATATTTACATTCAATATTGTCAAGACTAGCTCCACAATATGCCTCCCCACCCTAAATCCACCTCCCAAAAGTCAAGAGAAACAAGAATGCTTACTGCTCCATTAATCCAAGAAGCATAATCACTACAAAGGAAAGCAGCAAGATTTGCAAGTTCTTCCACAGTTCCTAGCCGACCACAGGGAATTCTGTTGATCATGTCTTTCTCAAATGCTCCAGTTGGGTCAAGACGGCTAAAGGCACCCTTAGAAATTAAGAAAACAGTTCAGTTGCATTTTTTTTAATGCAACCTCTTTCCTATTTAAGACACAAATTTGCATAAAATAGAATGTTACTATGGTAGCCTATTCATACCTTAGGCCTTGTAAGCAACAGAGAACTTTGCCAAATTCTTCCACATTCACTTTAGCTCCAAACAGGTCATTTTACCTAATATTGACCTTAAAAAATCACTAGAAAATGCAACCTTTTCACCTTAGTTTCTTCATTTGTGAAATGAGAATTTGTCTTAACTACCTCAAAAAATTGTTGCCATGTATGAGAAATGAGAAAATCTACAGCCATGCGCTGTACAATGACGTTTTGGTCAACGACAGACTGCATACACAACAGTTGTCCCACAAGATTAGTACCATGGAGCCCAGTGTGTAGTAGGGTATTCCATCTAGGTTTGTGTAGGTACTGCAGGGGAAGAAGAAATTTTCCTCTACCCTTCTAGGTTCTTCTATCTGGTCTAAGAATTAAATTGATATGAGACAGATTAACAAGAGAAAAACAAACAAAAGTTTAATAACATGTACACATGGGAGAAACCCAGGAAAACCAAGTAACTTGCCAAAATAGCTGAAGCCCTCACCTTAAATACCATCCTCAACTAAAGACAAAAGAAGACGTTGGCAGTGTGGAGAGTCAGGGACTTCAAAGGGAAGGAGGGCAATTCACAGGTAGGTGAAAAGGAGCAAATATTTGGAAAACAAGTGTTTGGCTATACAGATCAGAAGATCATAGAGAGGAGCCCAACAAACAGGCTTTTCTAGGTTCCTCCCTGACTACCACCTAATTCATGCTATGCTAAGGTGATAGCTCGCTCCCTGAGATCAGTCTTTTTATCTGAATTCTTTTAGGCAGTCATGGGGGAGGTAACAAGAAAAACTTTCTAAGTCTGTTGTTTCTTAAAAAATCATCAGCCTAAAATAATCCTCAGGTTAAAGAGACACATTTTAGGGTGGCAAATTTTGCTCCCCTTCAGTACACTCGATGACCTTTGCACAAGGACGAAATCGCCTCCTGACACGTTTCTCAGAACGTATCACTTCACTAAGCGACAGGTGACGGTGTACAAAAGTACTCTGAAATATGGACAAGCCTGTTTGTGGTGGAGGTAGGGGTGCTACTGTCATTGACTTGGTAAACACAGAAAAATGACTCAAGTAGGAAGTATGTAAGAGGAAATTCCTCTTCTCCCTTCTTCTCAAAATAATAGGAAAGGAAGAAAACAAATATGTAGGAATATTAAATTCAAGGAGATCCCACAGAGAGAAAAACCATAACTAAATCTGCCAAACAATTCCTGTCTTCTGTTAATGATGTGAAGGAGCAGACAAGATGAAGTATGTATGTGCACTGCTTAATAAAAACGACTGAATTTTTCTACACTACTGCCTGGCAGTCTAGGTGCCAGTTTTCTTCAATAACACAGGTATGAGACAGAGCAGCACTCACTCCGTTGAGCCCTGCAGCTCTCCCCGGGCAGGGAGGAAGCAGCAGAGACAAGGGAGCAACTGCCTCCAATCCCGGTTCCACGAGTGCTCGCTGGGGAGTTTCTGTACTGCGATCTTCTCTCAGTCCCTGTAAACCATATGCCTGTTATATAGCTTATCTAGTTTTTATATGTCTACTACTAGACTATAAGCTCCTTGACGGAAAGCACTTTGTCACAAATGTTTTGTACCTTTCTCAGTACTTCTGCACACAGTAGGCACTCAGTAAATACATGCTAAACAAATAAATAACATGAGGGTGATTTTTCCTTGATATTAACATCCTAGAAAGAAGCTTCTGTGACTAGAGACTCCTTTCCAGATAGTGCTCAGCATAGCACCATCCTGAATCATGTGTTTTAATAAATGCTTTTGAGTTATTTTTCCATTAATTTTATTACACTCTTTATTATTGCAGTGTCAATCAAATAAGATATTCAATCAAGTTTCACACACTAAGGTAGTGTTTCTTTCCATTTTCCTCTCTTTAAATTGATAAATAAACTAATACAGCCATTTTCATGTTAATATTTAAAACCCAAGAACTACCTACGACCCAAATGCTCCTTAGCATTATTTTCCAATGTGTTTATACAACTGAAACAAGTTATCAGACTTCACCTGGGCCTTCAAAACTACATCTCTATTGGGATTGTGAATTCTTGCTTTACACGAAAACAAAAAGTATGCAAGTGAAGTTATTTGGGGTAATGTGAGAGAAGAGAGAACCTGTGGACCTTGTGGGCAACATCTATAACAGCATTAGGGATAATTATGAGTTGCATTGAGTATCTGTAAGGATTATTGATTATAAGTGAAATGCATGCCATCAGAAGGATTTTTAATGAGAGGGACGTGGGAGTTAGATGACATGCATAATTGAGCATTGGAAAGGGAAAAGGCACAGATATGAGTCAAAGAAAATGCTACCTATAGCAACAGCAAGCCTGTATGATAAATTTTTAGAGCATCTCTTAAACTAAAAATATAGTTATATTTCCATGATTTTAAAAAAAGGATGTCAATCGAAGTAAGAATCTTTAAAATATGGTAAAAACTAAGAATATAAGACAATAACAGATCATTGAAGCAAATGGGACAAAATAAAAAAACTGATGGCATAAAAGATCCCAGAAGATTTAGACACCGAATTAGAGCTTGTCAAGAAGTTGTGAAGCTGCGCATTCCCGCCCACCTCCTCACGTCTTCTGTTGGCTAATGGAAGAACCCTCTCCCCACCACCAGGGCTCCAAACTCAGGCGTCCCTGGAAAGTCCTGCACAACAATCAGAATATACCTATCACTGTTTCGTGCCTTAATCATTCACAAGGTGATCACAAGCAAACTAAAACTTACTTTGGTTTTTATAGGCCCCGGTTGAATCACGTTGAATCGCATTCCATATTTACTCCATTCAGCTGCAAGAGACCTAAAAATTAAAATAAACAACACAGATGCTAAAATATTATACTACATGTTAAAAATAACAACCAAGACTCACTGCATGCTTACTCCATGCCAGAGACTACAATCCAACAAGTAGGTACTATTATTATTCCCCATGTTACAGACAAGGAAACTGAGTCACAGAGAGGTTAAATGATTTGCTCTGGGTCATATGGCTAGTGAGTCAATCCTAAGTGGTCCAGCTCCAGAATTTGTGCCCTTAATCACTCTGCTACACTATCCTCCATTTACCTTTCAGTGTCCTTAATCACTATGGGATTCACATTTTACATTCACATCTCATCATTCACATTTTAGAACCAAATCCAATATCAATATATATTTTTAGAGTAGGTTTCATTACTTAGCATAAAAAAGTGAGAGACTCATGCCCCTCCCCGACGTTTTCTGGAGTTCAATCGCACATTTATGAAGTTCAATATAACTTTATTTACAGTACATTGGATTACAATTTTGCAACATCACAAGTGGTCTAATTCAGTAAGAGATGGATTACATAGAGAGTTAAAACATGAACCACATCCATGTTTAACTAGATTTTAATAGAATTGTTGAACTGAGCTCGAGAGGAAATAGGAACCTAACAAAATCTTACCAAATGCCCTAAAGGAAAATATGACACTAATAGCAAACATGGAAACTTGAAGCAACTTGTTTTAAAAGCCTACTTGACAGATAGGTGTAACTTTTATTATCTAAACTTATTTTAGGAATTTATATTTGTGTGTATATATACCTAATCTAGTATTAAAAATGACTTAACGGTAACTTAAAAAAATACATATCACATAAATGAGGAAGAAGGGGGAGGGGGAGAAAGGGAGAAAGAGAGAAAGAGAGGGAAAAAAAAGAAACAAGGTTAAGGAAATACAAAGGAGCCAAGAATGAAGCCAATACCTAAATGTATTGCGACATTTCATATAATTACAATAAGCAGTCCAAAAATTTGTATCTACTCTTTCCATGACAGTATGCAAAAAAGGTAAGCCTAATCAGTTATACAACGCGCAGTGCCCGTAAGGAAAAAAGCAAGCTAATTTCTCAGAAGAAGCACAATTGATTCTGATAAAAAAATCAGAAAAAATTTCTTCCAAGAAGACTTATAAAAGCAAAATTATGTAATATAATAATGTCCTTAAGATACTGTATCCTTGCAATAGATACAAAGGGATAAGTTTAATGTGATATCCATTAACATGGCTGACAGCATCACTTCAAAGGCCAATTCAGTAAAACCAATTCTATAGGATAGGGGGCATGTGCTCCAAGCAGTCTGTAAATCTGACTTAATCCACAAGTGCATTTTAGAGAAATGGGTGGGCTGCATCTCTTTCAGGCAAATCAGACATAAAAATTGCCTCTTTGAGTGATGCTTTTGGCAGAGTACATGACCACACCTACCCTGGGCACGTATTTGTAGTGCACCTACTCCATACTGCTAGGTGAGTAGTAACTTTGCGTCTTATCAGAAGTACTGAGCTGAACAGAGTATATAGTAGCATCCTCTGAAAAACTGAGCAATCTATTAAGGAAACCTACCTAGAGGAAAAGCCGTCCTATCTCTGCTCAGAGGTGTGCCAGATAAATGTGTTCCAGTGCTAGCTCTCATTAAACTAGCTTACATTCTGAAGAACTATTGCAACATGATAAGGAATCCGCCTCATCAGCTCACTGGGCATGTTAAGATGCTGAACACAATACATTCCATATATGTTAGCCATCATTGTTGCTCTATCAACAGATGTTTACTGTGTACTTACTAGGTGTCAAGACTCCATAAGTGGGCCGGCCCTGTGGCTTGGTGGTTAAGTGCGTGCGCTGCAATGCTGGTGGCCCGGGTTCGGATCCCGGGTGCGCATTGAGGCACCACTTCTCTGTCCATCCTGAGGCCGAGTCCCACATACAGCAACTAGAAGGATGTGCAGCTATGACATACAACTATCTACTGGGGCTTTGGGGGGAAAATAAATAAAAAAAAAAATTTATAAAAAAAAAAAAAAAAAAAAGACTCCATAAGTGTTGTTTACCTTCAAATAAAGAAAGGTAGTCCTTGCTCTCAAGAGCAGTCCCTCTCTCTTGAGAGGTCAGTTTAGCTGTATAACGAACTAGTTACTGTACTGGGAGTTGTGTAATGTGTGTCACGGCTGCTTAAAGGAAGAAGTACCTAAGTCTACTGGAAGTGAGAGGGAAGGCTTCCTTGAACAGGTGATATTTCAGTTGACACTTGAAGAAGCATTAGGGCTTTATTGTGGGAGGCAAGGGGGAAGGAGAAGAGGATGGAAAATAATAGAGGGTAAGAAAGAGAAAGAAGACAGCCCAGGCATATGGGCCAGTATGAGTAAAGGACACAGGCACAAACAACACGCAGTATCTGGGGACCTACAGGGCCTTATCCGGTACAACTGTTTACTATCAAGTATGAGAAGAGAGCTGATGGGGACTCAGGCTGGAGAGGAAGGTACATTTATTGAACATCTACTATGTACAATACATTATGCAGTAATACAAAAAAAAAGTAGCACAAAACCATAGTCCTTAAAGGACATGAAATTGAAACCTTTAACAAGATACAAAGGTCCCAACAAAACAAGTATTATATTGAACAAATGGGGCCAAAATAGTCAAGTTCCAATCCCTTATTTCCAATACCATTTGACCTTAAAAAAAGGTAATTATCTCTATTCAGACTAAGACTCAACTTCTGAGTAGAGTAATATTAATCTTTTTATCTCAAACAAATGTGTATTACTGATTTAAATGTTAAAAAGTACTTTGCAACTACTGGAAAAAGAGAATAATTATGCAGTTTAGCAAGCAACGAACACCAGCTATGGACCAGATCCCACTAAGCAGTGAGTATACAAAGATACATAAGCTTTGGTCCCTTTCCTCACAGAACTCACATTCTAGTGAGGAAGTAAGATAGCTTTAATGACATGTTAAAAAGCAGTCTATCATACCCCTACTATATATTGGTACACGACCTTCATTTTAGACTCTATAACACAGGATGGCATTTATTTATTAGTGTATGAGTCTTCTCACTAGACTAGAATAAACCACGTTTTAAGGGCACACAGAGTAGAGAATGATTAATTCTGTTCTAGACAAATGAGAGAAAATATCCCAGAGGAGGTGATATGACAAGAGGCTTGAAAGCAGGCAAAATATCGCAGCAATTTCCAACAGCAGCATAACCCAGCCATAGAGATAGGAAAATGCATGGCACCTTTAAGGAAATGTGGAGCAGTCCAAGGGCAACGAGAGACAGGAGTAATGGTATAAGAACATAGGCTCAGGCGAGGAGGAGGGCTCTCCTGCTTCTCTCACTGTCCTCTCCCTGGTCCCTAGCACAATAAATATTTATCAAATAAATCAATGAATAAACAGACGTCAGGGACAAGTCTGTTTAGAACGCCATACTGAATTTCGGTTTTTATTCCAAAGAGTAATGAAAAAATGATCTATGATTTTCAGCTAGGGAGTATTATAAAGATCCGTATTTTTAGAAAGATGATTCTGGTGGGAAGGTGATTAAAAAATAAAGAGGGAAGAGACTGGTAGCAGAGAAACACATTATAGAGTTGCTACAGTAAGCCACAACGAGAACCTACATTACAACAAAGACAGTGGAAAAGGCCAATGGGGAACAGATTCAAAAAGCAATCGTGCTGCTGAGAAAAGGCCACGAGACCTGGCAAGTGGTCGCTGGTCTACGCTTGCCCTATTAATCCTGTACAGTAGGTATAATAAAAGGATGAAGGTGTGTTTAAGAGAGGTCAGGGGTGGCACTAGTCAAGATGCACGGGAGAGAAGAAAAGGCTACAGTCTTGTGCTGTCTAACATGGTAGCCACGAGCCACACGCGGCTATTTAATTTTAATTTTAAAGTAATTAAAATTCAATAATAGTTAGTTCCTCAGTCACGGTAGCCACAATTCAAGGGTTCACTGGCCACACGTGGCTATTGGATAATGCAGATTTATAGAACATTTCCATCACTGCAGAAACTTCTATTGGACAGTGTTGCTATAGACAAATAGGACTTATCCAGGAGACAGAATGTCTGTCTCCAGGTGAATCCAAATTAATCTCTGTTCTACTTTTCTCTGGATGGAGACCAGAATGCAGGAATTTAGGTCCATGAGTTACTAAAGTACATTACTCACCTTTGGCGACAAGATTAACACGGTAGTACTCACTTGTGCATAGCTTCCACTCCTGCTTTGGCAGAAGCACTTGGTACTACAAAACCTGACCCAGTCTCAGCATAGATAGTTGTAATAGCAAGAAATGCTGCTCCTAAAATTTTAAAAGGATATAGTAATTAACAACACAGCTAAATCAATTCACATCAGGAAAACATGATTTATAAGAATGGGATCTGATTCAAGAGGGTATAACAAAAAGTGAACCATTTTTCAAAACTTCAGTAGCCCTAAATTAATGAAAGTAATCTAATAAAATTGCTGCAACTTGCTAGTAATGTTACTGTCATTCAAGATGGCCCAGCCTGTGCTTACTTGGGATCCTACACCAGGTGAGTCAACACCAAAGCCCAAATCTCAGAGGCATGGCCCTCCAACACCCTGCACCACAGCTGGGCAGGATTCCCATTAACCAAGCACCCACTTAACTAAGAATACATCAGAATCAAAACTAAATTAGCAGGGACTTCTGCTTCAGCCATGATGGACAAGCCTTCCTCCTGCAAACATCAAGAAAACTGCATAAGATACATGATACAACTATTTTTAGATACTATACAGCTGGCAGGGAAGGACAGCCACCTTGAGGGAAAAAACAAATGAAATGAGCCCTAAGAGTACCCTAGGTTTTGCCTAAAGGTACTATACATCTACTATACTATGTACTATATACATACACATACTACATACTGTAGCATATATTATACACTATACACATATACTATATAGACTGTGGCATAGGAGGAGGAATCCAAGCACAAATGCCATTCTCACCAAGTTGAGGAGACAGAGATCAGAGTTTGGGGAGGCTGAGGAAGTTGCAATTTGTGAGGAGAGGTCCCCCAAGGAGGAAAGTATACAGAGACACAGCTCCATAAATCTGCACAGGATCTCCTTGAGTATTAGCCAAATACCAAGTGTATGTGTTCAGGGTGAAATTCCATGAGGCCAGACAAAGAACAACCGCCAGGGAGCTGGAAGCCAAACAATTCCCAGAGGCCACACAGAGCTGGGAGAGAACGTGACCTTTCAGCAGCTTTGTTGAACATCCAGGGCTTTCAGTGGAGAGTTCAAAAAGGCCATGCCTCAGGAGGAGGGTTAAATTAACCCAAAAGTAAAGGCTACTCTAGATTCGCCCACATAAAGTTTAAAAATGAACACTGAAATGAGTGAGTTGATCCACAAGTAACTTAACTGTTTGCCAAAATAAAAGTCAACACAGTTCAAGGGAAAATTAAAATACACACATGCGTGCACACATACACACACACACACACACACAGTCAACAACATAACATTCATGGCATGCAGTCAAAAATTACTACACATAAAAAGAAACAAAAACAGGAGAAAAATCAGTTAGTCTCAGAAATGATAAAGATAGAATTGGCAGACAAAGACCTTTAAAATGATAGTATAAATATGCTGAAAGATTTCAAGGAAAATGAGTAAAATGAGAAAAGTGAAAAATACGAAAGTAGAACCAAATAGAATTTCTAAAGCTAAAACATACAACATCCGAAATGAAAAATTAAATGTGTGAGCTTAGTTGCAGAAGAAAAGATGCATGTCTTAAAGACACAGCAACATCAACCATCCAAAACAAAGGACAGAGGGGGGAAACAGTTGAGGAAAAACAGAAGGACAGAGCCGCAGTGAGCTGTGGAACAAATATGTAGCGTGCTAACACATGTATAATCGGTTCCCAGAAGGAAGGGGCAGAAAAGTCACTTGGAGAAATAAAGATTGAAAATTTTCCATATTTGATAAAAACTATAATCTATAGATTCAGGGAGCTAAACAAATGCCAAGCAGGATAAATACAAAGAAAATTTCATATCATAATGACATATTATAATCAATCACTCAAAACCAGTGATAAAGAGAAATCTTAATAGTGATCAGAGAAAAAAATAAACAATATAAATACGGGAACAAAGATAAAAGTATTCACTGACATCGTCAGAAACAATGTTAGCTAGAGAACAATGGAATGGTATCTTTAAGGTGCTGAAAGAAAAAAAAATCTGCCAACCCTGCATCCTGTACACAGTGGAAATATCCTTCAAAAACGAAGGTGGTATTTTTTGACAAACAAAAGCTGAAAGAATCCACTGCTAGGAGACCTGCACTACAAGAAGTACTGAAGAAAGTTCTTCAGGCAAAATGAAAATGATACTTAATAGAAACTGAGACCTTCAGATGGAATGATGGATGTCAAAAATGGCAAATGTGTCAGTAAATACATAACATTTTTTCTTATTTTCTGAATTTCTTTTGAAAATAATTGACTATACAAAGCTATACTAAAAAGTGACACAAATGTATGTAATCAGTAGTGCCTGGGACATAGTAGTTTCTCAATCAATTGACCAAATGAATGCAAGTTTAAAATAATAATCTTTAGCTCCTGAGAAACCAGTGATTCTTCTACTTCTCATTTAGCCATAACACTGAATAAGATAATACTGTAAATTTAATATTTGCAAAAGGATCAAAATATATATTTTATAAAATAGTACATACTTTAACAAATTTAAAAGACTACAAGTTTGAAGGACTACAATAAAGATATTTTATCAGATATTTTTTTTTCTCCTCATATATTTAGTTTCTCTTTCCCTCTGCATTTTCCAGAGCAGAAACAAAACTCAGCACATCCTGGACAACATAGGAGTGGAAGAGGGGGCAGGAGTACCATTTTGAGGATACGAGAAATAAGAATGGTTGTTAGTCCTTATGGTAACTCCTTTTATATATCAAACTCAGCCTTTCAGATCTCTGAAAATTATGTTGCTTCCAAAATCACTCTGTGAAAGACAGGGCTGTAGACCATTAGTGTACACCATTACAGCACAGACAACGGATGCTAACTGCATCATTCTCACAGCAAAATTATAAAAATGACTTTAAAAACTGACAATTACTTATACAAACCAAAAGCTCCAATGGAAAGTGCTCTATCTTTTGATCAGATTTGACAGAAATGTTTATCGAAGTGTGGGAGAGGAGGAGTTAAGCCATTATTATATAATTCAGGTACAGAAAATGAAAGATATTACCTTCTTCTCTTTCTCCAAGTTTTATTTTCTCAGCCTAGAAACTTTGGGTAGCCCACTGCTTATAATGAGATACTGCTGCTTTTAATTCTCCCTGAGTGTAAAAAGGAGGTAAAAATTTGAAACGGCACTGTTCCCACAGGATGACTGCTGCACAGTGAAACAAGACAGCTGGAGTTCAAAGGATGCGCAGTGGTGCTAAAAGTTCAAAGTAAACAATTCCTAGAGTCCCAAGGTTAGTCACAGACAGATTTTTCTTTTTGTAGGAAGGCCAAGTATTTAAATTAGAATAATTGTTTAACCTAGAGAGGAGGTTTGGAAATGGCAAATTTCTAACATCCCAGGGCAGACAACAGAAATGAATGTATGTTATTTAGTGAGGTCAAGTAAATGGAGAAAGGCAGCAAGGGATGAAATAAATATTATGCTAGTTCATCCTTTCTTATTTCAAAATGGGAAAAAATAGTAACAAAGAAATACTAAAAATCACTGTCTATTAAAAATGATAAAATATGTGTAAGATTATGTTCCAATTTCAAAAGAAGACTCAAAATTTCTAAAAGCTGGTTTCAATCCAAATTATGAAAATTAAAATAATAAACACTTTTAGTTCCAATGACCAACAGAGGTGGAATAGTGTAAAGACACCCGGGCTCAAATACTGACTCCACTATTTACTAGCTGCGTAGCTGTGGGACCTTGACCAAGTCACTTCCTGCTCTAGGCCCTAGATTTATCATCTGCAAAACAGGAAAACAGAGAGTGTATAGAAAATGTCATTAAAGTCTAAAGATTACTTATTAACTAACTGTTGCTGTTGATTCTACCTAGTACTCTTTTACCTTCAGGCAAAAAGCCCCATTTTGAAACTGATAATATCTAGTTTTTTAACCACATCTATAACTTCAACTGATGTTATCTCTGGCTGCCTAGTACTCTGGCACTTTCGCTGAAATCTGACTCATGGTCTTAAACCTACAAAAACGTCTGTATCCACATCTCAAACCCAACTTCTCCCATCATCCTGGTAGATTTCAACGCCCAGGTGGACAAAGTCCATAGATCTTACAGCTCCACGATCTCATCCCCAACAACTTCACTGTCACCCAGTTGAGCACAACCTGAGCTCTGTCATCACTCCACAACACCGAATACACTGCCTCACCCTCGATGCTGTCCCTCCAGTGCTCTCACCCCTCATGCTACCTGTGCTCTTTGAGATCTCACTATAAATTCTGGGTGCTTTATCTCCCGTATTCTTGAGGCTTATTATTCCCCCCTAGACTAACATGTCTATTTACAGCCTAGACTACTACATGAATGAATCACTCAATTCATAGCCACCATATTCTCTCAAGATATCCACCCTGCAACCCCTCAATTCCAGAATGGCCTTTTCCAGTCTTACATAGAGGGAATTTTAATACTGTTACAAACTGTGGGTGAACGCCATCAGAAAGATGCATCCACAATTTCACCAGGGCACTCAATATCATTCATCAACTCTTTCAATATCCAGAGTAAGCCTCTCCACCTGTGTTTCTGATTCACAGCTCCTGAGACTAGAACATTTCTTCATTGGTTCATCTCTTCTTTCTCCTTCAACGCTTCTCTTCATTGGGCTCTCCCAGCAGTCATTAATCATGCTTCAATCTCCACTCTGAAAATATCTCTTCTTAAGATCTTTCAGTTTAACTTTACCCATCTCCAGAGGGTAAAGTCCACATCCCTCCACCTCTTCTCTTGCCTCTCCAGGCATTATACACCACATATAAGCAACACTGAATTCCTTGTACTTCCTAAACACACAATTGAGCTATTGTTTGCAGCTTTAACTCTTCTACTATTATTGCCAGCAATTAATCTTACTAACAATCACAGAAAGAAGAGAAAACTCTGCACTTCTCTTTTTGATGAGGGCACAGAGGACCCTGTCTCTCAGCCGCTTTTTGATAAGAGCCCAGATTGAATTTAAATCTAAAAATCATCAATGCACTAAAAAGTTACTCAAAGGAGGATTAAATGACTTAAAAGC